CAGCGAAACGCACATCATGTCGCATGCTTTGGCTGTGGGTATGGTGTCGTGAATGCAGCCGGCATTATTTTGCCCGACTCCTTTTCACTGCTTTGCGACAAATAGATGCGTCGCCGCCCGAGTCATTCGCTGCAGCTCCGTGTGCTGTACTGCCGGCACAATACTCTCGTGTCGTCTGGCGCCTGGCTGACAGTCAAGCACCACTGCGCCGGGGCATGCAAGGATGTGGACTGCCGCTCACGGTGTTGGGCACCGCTGTTTGGATGCGGCGGCCACACGAGCGGATGTATTGTGGCACAATCGAATGCGTGAAATACGCGGAGTCACCGCGGCTGCAATAATATCAGCGGTGTGGCACCACGGAGTATGTGAGGGGGTGATGCACGATGAATCACAGTGGGCGGCATGCGAGGGAAGTGCACCGTGACGGAGCGTCGCCCCGCCCTCAGCCTGCAGGGGAATGTACGCCCACAAAATATATGGTCGAGGCACCACCAAACACGTATGCCCTTCTGTGCAGCAATAAATAGGAGCGAAGGTGCGTTCTGGTGCGTGGGAGTCCACTCACGTATTCTCATTTCCACCGCAATAAACGGCGAGGAATCAGGTGCCACAGCAACGAAGGAGGAAATAAAAACATCTATTGCAGCACTTTTACCAGCGAAAAGCAGGAACAACGCAAATTGAATTATTGGCCGCACCAACACAATAAAAATTCACAAGAGAAGGAAACAGTTGTGCACACCGCAGGAACCCCCAACACACGATGCAGGCATGAGGGTTTGCCCTCCGCAAAAACAATAAGAACATATGCAGACATCTTCCACCCTCCAAAAAGAAACACAAATAAATGGCTGCTTTATTCCATTCCTTGCGCTTGACTTTGCGTGTGCTGCTGCTGCGGTGGTGGCTGCGCTTCCCGTGGATCAACAATCCACGTGGTGTGCGGGGATCTATTCTTTTTCATGGTTACTTTGCTGTTGTGTTGCTGTGTGCGCTGCACCTATTCTCGTGTGTGCGTACCCTCCGTGAGGGGTGCCGACACGACGGACCGCTCTCGCCGTATGTGCATGCGGTGGAGCCTTGTGTGCCGCTCCTGTTTGCTTCTCCCTCCTCCATCTGTGTGTTGGTGTTGCGGCAGGGCTGTGTGTGTGTGCCTGCTGCCGTGGATTGGAGTGTGTGCTGTGCGTGGTGTGCGGCGTACGGTGCATGCCTGGCTGCTGCCCTCTCCTCATGTGGTGTGCCCTCTTTGTGTGTCTGCCGCACCTCTCGTCTCCCCTGTTGCTCTCCATGTCCCTCACTGTGCAGATCAGCTCCACACCACTGAACGACCACACTCACGATGATGACGTGCCGTCTGCTGTGCGCCCTGTTGGTGCTTGCCCTGTGCTGCTGCTCGTCCGTGTGCGTGACAGCTACTGGTGGAGAACAAAAAGAAGTCAGTACTTCAACGACTGCTTCGCCACCGGAAGCAGGTGGTGCAGGGGAAAAAAATACTTCCACGGCGCCAAGTTCAACAGGTATGACAGTTACGTTACCGGGAACCGGAGATCAGGACAGTGAGGAAACCGCTTCGCCAGAAACTTCAGATAAAGCAACTCCGGGGCCTATTACAAAAGGCGGAGCAGGTGGGGTGCCCGCTCCGCCAGGGAACTCAGATCCAACAAGTTCGGCGTCTGGTACGGAACAGGGAAAGGATGGATCCGGTGGGTCAGGGAGTTCAGGTACGGTGGCCGATACAGTACAGAAAAATAGTGACAACGATACGACAGACTCAACAAGTGGCAATAATTCATCCACAGACCAAACAAATACGAATGCCGACGATGCGGCCGAGAAGAGCACGGCGACCACTACCACAACCACGACTACGACGAAAAAAGCACCAACTACCACCACCACCACGACTACGGAGGCGCCAACTACAACGACCACCCGCGCACCGTCACTTCTTCGCGAAATCGACGGCAGCCTCAGCAGCTCTGCGTGGGTGTGTGCCCCGCTGCTGCTCGCAGCATCCGCGCTGGCGTACACCACTCTGGGCTGAAGAATTGTGTGCGGGCTGTGCGTGCCAGCACTCAACCGCGGGGACTTGTGTGCGTCCACTGTGGTCCGATGTGCTAAACAGGATAAAATAATGATTGTGTTTTGCTTCACTTGCTTCCGCTGCCCTGCTGTGTGCTCCTTGCCGCTCCCCGCATCCGTCACGTTGAACGCACCCCAGACAAACTCATGTGCATGGCACGCACACAACTGATTGCGTGGAGTCGCATTTGAGGATGGGTGCGTACGTGCTGGAGCCATACTGTGCAGCCCTTTGTTTTGTGTGTGTTTACATTTTTAACTTCATTGCTGTTTGTTTACCTGTGTTTTGTTTCTAATTGTTTTGTGTGTTTTTCTGCTTACTTGCTGCGGGGCGTTGTGTGTTTTTGCCCCTTCACTGCTTTCAACTGCCTCATGGTGTGTGTGCGCTGCCGCTGCTGGGCTGCTGCCATTTGCGACTGTGCGGTGGCTTTGCGTGGTGTAGCGGCCGTGTCTCTCGTATTGTTTTCTCTGCGTTGACGTGTTGTTAGTTTGTGCTGAAGGCTGCAGGCAAGTGACAGGAATGATGGCGATGATGATGGCTGGCCGTGTGCTGCTGGTGTGTGCCCTCTGCGTGCTGTGGTGCGGTGCCGGCGGCGGTGGCTGTGATGAGACACCGCAGGCTTTACTTTCTGGCTCTGGTGGTGGCACGGTTGTTGGTACTGGTGCTGGCCCAAGTGGTGGAGCTGACAATGGTTTGTTTGCTTCTGAACCTAATGGGGAAAGCGAGGGGGATCGTTTGGAGAGGACGGATTTGGGGCAAATAAACTCATCCCCTCGCGGTGGAACTGTGGGGCCAGACAACAATTTGGCAGTGATGCCTGTGGGATCTCCGGTAACACGCAATCAAGTGTTGTCGAATGAAGCGCTGTCTTTGCAGTCACCACCATCACCAAAACCATCAGCACCAGAATTACAGGATTTGCCAGAAGGCCCACCACTATCCGGTGGCAGTCAAGGTGGTGAAGCTGACAATGCCGTTGGTGGTGTTGGCCCCAGTGGAAGTTCTTCTGGAAGTGGTGTTAAATCCATGGTATCCGCTTCTTTTTCCGCCGGTATGCTTTCACCCCCCAATCCCGTTGACGGTGATGTTTTGCAGGGCGGCAAGGGTACGACAGCCACCCTGAGCATGGATTCCTCAGAAAAAAGTGTTAAGTCACAATCAGCGGAACCTCCAGCACCCGCACAACCCAACTTGGATAGACAAGAGGCGTCAACATCTAATGCAGAAAACCATTCCCCTATTAAGCCACACACCGCAGGAAATCAAGTTGTTAATGGCGGTGCAACTGGAAAGGAGAACACGCAGAGGGCCGCAGTGACGGGAGGACCTTCCAGCGACACACGACCAACAACACTGCAACCAGCTCCGCAAGAACAGCCAAAAACAGAACTAATAATAGTGCCCGCAGGAAAAGAACGCGCAACAGACCCACGTACTCGAGAAAAAGAAGAAAGAGACTCCAATAAAGCACCACCACCACCGGCAAGTTCAGCAGGAGGAACCCCAGCAGCAAAAGAATTACAAATTTCAACGGAGGAAATGCACCAAACGTCACCGTCAGAAACCCAAAAGCTCCTTTTGGGACAAGAAACCCCTTCAAAGGATGACGCGGAAGATCAAAACACTGAGGGCACAGCAGCATCGGATTCGGTGAAGGACGAAGCTGCCAGCAGCTTGGTGGAAACAACAGCTTCACCCATCTCTACAAGTGGCGGTGCTGATACAAAGAGTGTAGCGAGTGAGGATGCTGATAATGCTCAGCAGCCCGATCATAAAGAAGCACACAAAGACCCCGAGCCTCAAAATACGAGTCCTGCTTTTACAGCCACTGAGGCACTGCCACAAACAGCAATACCACTCACCACCGCTCCAACAAATGATACGACGACACCTGGCGACAGTGACAGCAGCACCGCGGTCCCCCACACCACCTCCCTTCTTTTGCTTCTTCTTGTTGCGTGTGCGGCTGCTGATGCGGTGGTGGCTGCGTGAGAGTGAGGGAGAGAGAGCCGTGCACCGCCCGCACACACACTCGTCCTTCTCTCTCTGTGCGTGTGTCCCCTTGCATGGACTCTCGCCCTCACCTCACCCCACGAGGCACACACAATAATGTGCCCATTGTATATATGCATGCACACCCATGCAGGCCCGTTGGTGCCCTCTTTTGCACGACACGCACCGCTGCCGTCCTGCCTGGCTGCATGGGCGGAGCACCGTAACTGTTTCTGTTTTGTTTTTATTGCATTGAGTGGGCGACCTCTCTCTCTCCCTATTGGGCTTTACGGGAGCAATGAGAGTGTGTGTGCGCTGGTCGTCCCACCTGTTGCTGCGCGTCCCCACTGCTGGGTGGACGCCCCCACGCTTCGGCTTTTTGTTGTTGGTATTTTTTATCCTCTGCCTGTGTTGTGGCTGAGTGCACCCATCTTACTTTTTTGATTTCTGGTTTGCTTTGACTGCGGACGCCTGATTCCTCTTTGTGTGTCCTCACATTGTTTTCTTTCTCCTTCTAAAAGTGTCAGCCACTCGTATCCTTGTAAAGCCACCACGTCCTTTCTTTTCCACATACGCCATGCGTCAGTTGATCCACGTCACCCCACGGTCTGCGGCGCTGCTGGAGCTGCTTGTGATGATGCCTGCGACGGGAATTGCCAGCGAGTGCTTTGCTGCCACCCTGACGTATCCTTTGCTTCCTTGACGATGTAGGGCGTACCGACGGCGCGCGGGCGTCTGTGGTGCTGGTGAGGCACGTGCGTCTCAAACCGTATGATGCGTCGCAGGTGTGCAGCGTCGTTTCGAAGCACCAATGGGCGTTTCCACTCATCATGGCGTCCACAACGGACCCGGATGGCAGCAGGAGGC